TCAGGAGGGTAATATAGAATCTTGTACAAGAAGTATCTGGAATGTGACTCTTGTGTATCCAAAGGACCCTAAGAAATCAGTCACACTGTTCTCTTTCTTTAGCTCACCTTGGAAATTCATGACACCACTGTTTAAAAACCTCAGAAAAAGACAATCCTGTAACTTTCTGAGTTTAAACTGGGCTAAAAATGGAGTTGTTGAATTGCTTTATTCCAGCATGTAGCACAATGCCCAGAACACTAAAAAAAAAAAAAAAAATTTTTTTTTTAATAATGCGTGAGTGAACAGAGAATGTTTCCCTTGGATCTGTCCTAACTAGCTCAGGGCAGTGTAGTAAAATGATTATGAATTCAGACCATGAAGCCAAATTTGGTTTCACATCTCAGTTCGGCTATTTCTTTGACCATTAACTTTTTTGCACCTCAGTTTCCTTATCTATGAAGTGAAGATATTAGGGTCTCTTCATAGGATCATGGTGAAGATTGAGTAGACTCTTCTTAGAATAATGTATGACACAACTGAAGTGTTTTCAGGGCCACCATGGTGTATAAGTCTATGGAACACTTTCCACACCACAATCTACATGAGGAGCACTACCTTCCCCACAGAGTTGTGCAAGGTCACTCAATGACCCTGATCCTTTGCTATTGTTATTATATTATTTTATTATTATTATCATATTCTGCTTAGGCCTGTTTTTCCTTTGTCTTTTTATTAATATCTAAAAGCTATGCAGAGAAATATTAGCATACATTATGTGAAGTGGAAGGGAGAAGGAAATGGAAAACCACTCCAGTATTCTTGCTTGGAGAATCCTGTGGACAGAGGAACCTGGAGGGCTGCTGTCCATGGGGTCTCACACAGTCAGACACGGCTGAAGCGACTAAGCATGTATGCATGCATTGGAGAATGAAATGGCAACCCACTCCAGTACTCTTGCCTGGAGAATTCCAGGGATGGAGGAGCCTGGTGGGCTGCCGTTGATGGGGTCGCACAGAGTCGGATGCGACTGCAGCAACTTAGCAGCAGCAGCAGCAGCCTGTGAAGTGCAAAATAAGGAATACCTTTTGTACATAAAGAAGAAAATAAAAGCATTTTCTGTATTATGTCTCTTTTAAAGTAGTTTCCTTCTCCAGGACAAACATGTGGAAAACCCATCTTCATTAAGAATGAAGATCTCTTCATTCAGGTAATAGCAATACATTTGGCTCAGGACCAAGTTAGTCTTTTTAGGTTGAGAATGTGCATAATTGCCAGCCTAAATGTTATTCTGTGATAGCCTGGAAGAAAGGAACAGTGTTGAGAGAGATACAAAAAAGACTGACCAGAAGTATGTCCAACAAAATGTCCAGAAACATCTCTAGAAATTAGGAACCACTAATCAGCTAACAGAACAAAATAGAAACCACCATAATGCCAATCCCTTATGACTGACCATAAGTTTTGCCTCATCAGAAACACACAGAGACAACTGCCTAAAGAGCACAGAGAAACTAGTTTCCACCCTCTTGAGTTCTAGCCGCGCCTTCTCTCTGTCTTCACCTCAGTGTCCCGTCATGGCTTACAGGACAGCTTCACAAACAGAAAGATATTTAAAAAAAAAAAAAAAAAAACTATATAAAGGACCCAAATTAACTTTAGAAACTCAAATTCTTTTCAGATGGAGAATTCATTTCCTTCAAGAAATGTGCATTTAAAACTTGTTAACAAAAGTCTTCTCAGAAGCTGAAGTTTGTCTTTTACTATTTTCCACAAGGTAATTAAGTAGCCACTCACAAAAGTCCAATGAGGAAAGGAAGATGCATAACCAAGAGGAAAGATCTTATTTTTTTATTGCCACTATTAGATCTTAAAAGAAAAAAAAAAAAAAAACACATTGTTCCTCTCCCCAAGTTATTATGTAAAAATGGCTGGATAAATGGGGATTATAATCCCTAGAATTGCAGAGAAAGAAAAAGAGAATGGGAGTGATTTCTTTCATGCAATCTGTTTCTCCTATCACACCACCCCAATGAAACATGTGACAGAAGGAAATGCTAAATTCTGGGTCGATCTCAAGTTGCCATTGTCTAAAGTCAAAAAATGAGAAAGGAAGAAATGAAGAGACAAGGAAAAGAGAGGAGGGAAGGAAGGACAGTAGGAAGGAAGGGAAAACAGAAGGAAAGGAGGGAATGAAATTGGAGGTAAGACATTCAGTATATTTGCTTTCTGAAGCAAATAATAGAAAATGCATAAGAGATTAGCCCCCCCAGGGTTGATGCATCAGGTGCAGAAGAAACTTTCCATCTTCCCACTCTTCATCCTTGGCATGTAGACTTTTATCCTCGAGGTAATGAGGTGACCAAGCACCCGTAGAAATCACATTCACATTTGAGACAAAAATAAGGCAAATAGGCCCAAAGCCTTTTTGAAGGGCTTTGTCTTTTTATTTGTAAAAGGAAGCCAATCTTAGACTATTTCCCTTTATATCTCATCGGCAGAACTGTACCTGGTGACCAGCACTGTGTGAGGCAAGTCTAGGGAATTGCAGATTTCCATTTCTGAGTTAGAGAAAAGCAAGGAAAATGATTGGGAATGCGTGTAGATTCAGCCAACCCAAGTCAGCAAAATGGACTACAACGAATGCATTTGAAATGAAAGTAATTGAATTAAATTAGAAACCTTCCAGAATGCCCTTAACTGTCTTAGAGCAGCATCCATGGTTGTAGTGAGAGCCCAAAGATTAAATGCCAAGTCAAACCACACAGTCATTCCTTCTTTGTGCAGGGTAGATGATATGGCTCTGGGAAATCTGGAGAAAGGGAATATTTACAATTGACCAAACCCAGTTGATTGGGTTCTATTCTAACCTTTGTTATACTGTATGACATAGGGATTAAGAACATGAACTTCGGAGCCAAACAAGCCTAGGTCAAATTCTGACTCTGTCACTTACAAGCTATATGACCTTGGATAAATAATGGATTCGTTTCTATAAAATCCTATTTGTTCAGAGTAGTTCAGCGTAAATCAGATAATTACGTAAAACATCATGGCAGATTCTGCCAGCTGTGCATCTCTTCCTTCATATGGTAAAATTGTACTTGGAAAATAGCTGCCCAGGCATTGACTACATTTCCCAGAACTTTGCCCAGCCAGGTGCAGCCATGTGACTAAGCCCCAGCCAACAGAATTTAAGCAAAATGACACTTTTCAGCCCATAAATGCTGCACAACACAATCCTCTATGCTAAATTTCCACTTCCTGCTTACTGTAATGGCCCTAGCGAGACCACTGGAGACCACACAGACTGCTGTGAATCTGAGTGCCTGAATGACTGAACAACTAACCCAGACTTTACCTAAGGGAAAAATAAATTTTTACATTCCTCAAGCCACTAACTTATTGTTTAGTCTCATCACAGTAACTTCACCTACCTAAACGTTGATCCTGGCACATAGTAAGGCCCCAGTAAATTGTACCTACCCTCCAATAATCAGGAAGAAGGAAATGTCAGTGCAGTTTTTTTTCCTCTGTGATGAAATCATGGTATTAACACAAATGAGCAACTGAATCTTTTTCCCAGTTCTAAAATTCACGAAGTTGTTGCTTTACAGAGAATATTGCATGTTTATTAAATTAACCTTTTTAAAAACCATTGAGCACCTAAGGCTAAATTCTAATAGTTTAGTGAAAAATAATATAATGGTGAGTGTTGACACAATTACCACATTACTCTTACACAAGAATTCTCAAGCAAAGTCTGTTGTTATTGAAGAAATAATAAGAATACACTAAGAAAAATCAAGGAATAAAACCCTTAGGGGAGTTCTCTAATCATATAATTTCAAATAAAACTCTAGTGATTCAATCAGAGCCATATTGACTAAGAAAATAGTTACTTAAGTAATCACATTTGAATTCCATTCAAGTAAAAATATTTAACATGCTCAAGGTTCAAATATTTTAAATCATAAAAATAAATTACCCAACTACACAATGATAGGAGAATTTGGGGGTGGAGTGGCTTGTACATCTTTTACTTGTTAGTTTTTTAAACCCCTGAAGACTTTCCTTTCAGTAAAAGAATCTATGTAAAATATGCTTCCTCTCTTTTGACCTCTCCTCTCACAACAAGGTAGGAGAGCGCTTTATAGAATAGAAAGTGAGGCAGTTATATATACATACGTATCCCTTTTTTCCCTTACAATTTATAAATCTAAATTAGCTCTTCTTGCTCTGGGAAGCATTTTAGAGCAGTCCTGAAAGAACTAACTTACTTGAAGCACAGAGTATCATGGATTCTTTCGATGCATGATGTATGATAATTAAACAGGGACATTTGATTTTTTTTAAAAGTCACTGTAGATATTCACCTTCTTACAGAAATCAGTATATGAGTATAGTATATATGTGTAAGGATGCAATCTAATAAACAACTTGCTCTCTCAAGTCCAATATGAACATACTTTTCTTTTTAAAAAGGTGCAGTTATTCACAGATTCCTTATTTTATTTTATTTTTTTTTTTACTGTTCTAAATTTTTAATGCTTGGAAATGCCACCATTTTAAAACTCCAGATAAAGAAATAGAATTGACACAGAGGAGCTACAGGCTACCCCTGACGTTTTGACTGGAAGTAAACAAAAGTTCAAAGCTTTAAATCCTTTCTGGTAAACACCCAAGAGCTTCTTCCCTCTTACACCTAAAGTCACTTATTTTACCATCAGTAAGCCTTTGGAAACAGCCATGGAATACATTACCCTGTGTGGTGGAAAACATCCCTAGATAATATCTGAATGCCTTTAAATGATTCACTAAGTCTGACCATCCTAAATGTTATCAACTGCTTGGTTTCCCCAAAGGCCTTCCCACCAAACACAGCTTCAGCTCATCGTATGTCACTTTAGGACAAGGTCATTCCATATTCGGACTTTTCAACTATCGCACACTAAGAGTAGTTCTCCTTCTGTAATCTCAAATCTACTAAAATAGAAAGTAGACACCACAATTGCAAAATCTTTCATGCTTAAAGGCTAGTGTATTCAGTTCCTTTCCATGCAAAACTTAATGAGGTATCTTATATGCTTGCGATGTCTTTTCCAAATCAAGTGTGGGGCAACCTTTGAAGATCCACTTGGCGTTGTCATCTTGTCCTATGTTCTGCTAAGTATCTTACACGAGAAAGGAATGTACTTGCTGACCTACAGATTAGTCCCAGGGGAGTGTGCTAGATAAATGCTAACGTCTATGGTCTCTTCCATTGCTGTCAAGCTCACAGAGGGGCCTTTCCCAATTTGAATCACCAGATGCCTACAGAAGCCACTCAGATACGCCATGGCAGGGAGGAGGAAGAGGAGGAGGAGTCTGCTGTCCTAGGGTGGAGGGAAGAGGCTGCTGGTTGGCAAAAAGCTAGGACTAATGGTGGTGAAGTCATCCCCTCTAGGACGCCATGCCCAGCAGAAAGCCTCCCAAAAAGCCACCAGTCACTAGAACGTTCTTCTTCACAAATGACACCACCTCCTCTGCTTTGCTCTTGACCTCTGTAGGTATCTGGTTGCTCTTGCGGATCTTCAGCTGTTCTTTGGCCTTCTTCATGTCCTTCTCTACACGCTGCCAGTCCACTTTGACGTAGCCAGTATGGTTTGCAAGCATCCAGTGACACCTCCAATTAACAGCTGGGTTGCCACACTATACTTTTCGGCTGAAGGCCCAGATTCCTGCCCAAACAGCGTGCGCCACCATGGCTGCTTTTTAGCAAGTTCTGTAAGGTCCAGTGACTCAAACTTTCCCTCAAAGTTTCCTTGACTGGCGGCGGCCATTTCGGCGAGCTCGTCTCGCGATGACACCCGCGGGGCTTCGCCGCGGGAGGACGCGGAGTGGCGCGCCGCCATCTGCGCAAGCTGGCTTCCGGTAGGTGGGGTAGATGTTTCCATTCCCACGGCGGTGGCGGAAGAGAGATTCCTTATTTTAAGGAAGTATAGTAGTTCCCTAAGAAATTATCACCTAAAGGATTTTTTCCCTTTGATCTCTAGAGATCTATATTTTCTGGATTAAATATTTAGGATTAATACCAAGATTCATAAATATGTTCTTTTAGTGTGACAAATTGCTTTAAGCTTTGACTTTTTCATTTTATCCACATTTTTAAGATGAATTTATAAACATGAATTTAAGTTTTAGCTATATTTAATACTTTAGATATCTAATTGAATATTAGATAATTATATACTCAAATACTTCTTTAGCACCTACTAAGTGTACAACACTGTGGAAACCACTCCTAGCTCCCATTCAAAAGATAGAACTACAAAGTAGAGCTCCAAAATCACTGCAGATGGTGACTGCAGCCATGAAGTTTAAAGATGCTTGCTTGAAGCATCTTGCTTGGAAGAAAAGCTATGACCTACCTAGATAGCATATTAAAAAGCAGAGACATTACTTCACCAACAAAGGTCCGTCTAGTCAAAGCTATGGTTTTTCCAATGGTCATGTATGGATGTGGGAGTTGAACTATAAAGAGAGCTGAACGCTGAAAAATTGATGCTTTTGAACTGTGGTGTTAAGAGAAGACTCTTGAGAGTCCCTTGGACTGCAAGGAGATCCAACCAGTCCATCCTAAAGGAGATCAGTCCTGGGTGTTCATTGGAAGGACTGATGCTGAAGCTGAAACTCCAATACTTTGGCCACCTCATGCAAAGAGTTGACTCATTGGAAAAGACCCTGATGCTGGGAGGGATTGGGGGCAGGAGGAGAAGGGGACAACAGAGGATGAGATGGCTGGATGGCATCACCGACTCGATGGGTGTGAGTTTGAGTAAACTTCGGGAGTTTGTGATGGACAGGGAGGCCTGGTGTGCTGCAATTCATGGGGTCGCAAAGAGTCAGACACGACTGAGTGACTGAACTGAACTGAACTGAACAGAGCACTGGGCAAGACCTTTGAAACCTCATTTCTGAAGAAGGAAAAAAAGCCAGAAGCAATTTTTCCAATATCCAGGATCACAAACCCAAGTCACAAAAGCCTAACTCTTCTCATTCCCAGTTCAATGCTCTTATTGTCCCATATATATCATTTATTCATTCAACAAAAATCTTTTATCAAATACCAGCTATCTCCAGTACTAAGCACTGAGGATGTAAAATGAGGTGGGAAGTTTTGAAAAACTTTGTAACAACCGTTCTCAAAATGCTTCTCAGAGAGAGAATGGTCTTGGTTTGGGAAAATGCCTTGATAGAGGTTGAGTGTAAAAAATAATCTTTAGGAAACTTAGAATTGGCTGTGCTGAAGCTTCAGAAAAAAAAAAAAAAGCCTGTTGATGATACTGTTGGGACTTGGCAGTTGTGTGGAGGCACACAATGCATTAAAGTTTTCTTAATCCTTGTAAACAAAATGGAAACAACTGAACTACCTATTAAAATTAGAATAGAAAATGACTTTTTAAGAGCTATTCCATAAAGTGCTAAAGAACAGCTTAAAATAATAAAGTCAATTATATGTACTAACAGGGAAAACTCTTTAAGACATATTAGCAAGTGAAAAAGCTAGCTATGGAAAAACGCAAACATTTCATACCAGTTGTGTTAAACATACTCCAGGATGCTCTATACTTTGCAAAGGAAATATATATACAAAAAGCAGTTAGCTGAAAGGGTACACTCTAGGCAGACAGCAGTGCTCACATCATCTCAGTAGAAGACCTAGATTCCAGATGCTAGTCGGAAAAACTTGACCTGTATCTTTAGAGTTTTCATTTTCACCAGGAGTCTATATTCTTTTGTTGCTTATGTAATCAAACTTTAAATATTTTAAATATAATTTTTAAATGAACTAAAACAACATATTTATGAATTCTTATTTATGGATTCTAAGTTTAAATATTTCTAAATAAACCAAGCTTAACTTGAAATATTTTAACAGCTTTAAAGCAAAATATAAAGGATGCTGACATAGTAGTTGAATATTTAGATCCATAATAAAATAAGCAAAAATATTTAATAAATCAGAATGATTATTAAAAGAGATATTTCGTATTCTTAAATTTTCTTAAAATACTCTTTCATAAAATTACTCTCATAGGTCTCACTTTCATATTATATTGATTTATTAATATTTTCTAAAAGAATATTTATAACCTAAAATGGTTTTGACCATGAAAAGGATTAGCTGTTTAGTGGACTAAATATTTATAGTGCCATGAAATAAGTAAGACATTGTAAAATCTAGCCCATTTTTAGCTTTAAGAAAGAGCAGTAAACCCAGGAAGGTAACAAAATATACAACTCAGTGTTGGATCAAGAAATTTTACTTAGTTTACATGTCTTGGGGAAAATACATTAAAATACAATTTTAATGAGAATTTTTGATGTTGTTTGATTTCCTTCCTTTCGATAATCAAGACTACCAGTAGAAGTCTCTTCTTCCTGTACAACAAAAGTATTCTGATTCTGTGAGAGTTTCTCCCCGCTTTAGCATCATCTAACTATGAGTTTTACTTATAATCTTATGAGATCATCTTGAGTCAGTCTTAAGAAAGTTGTATTTAAAATTATTCTGAGACAGTAATTTCTATGAATTACCTGTCACTGCAAGGAACATGGAGATGGAGAATTAGATCGAGCCTGTTGAGATTTTTTTAGCTTGTTTTTCCAGAAATATCAGATCTGAATTTAACAATTATCCATCTAAGTAGAAGGGAACAGCCAAAAGTCATTTCTGTTTTAATGTGGAAGGCATTAGATAATTTCTGAAGTGAATTTGCCTCCTTAATTATGTTTGTTTACACGGACTCTAAAATGAGTGTGGTTTGCATTCCTGAGCATGTATGGATTGATTTTCAGAGAAGGTGCTCAGAAGTAAGTCAGGAATACACATGGTTTTAATAATGACTGTGGATACTCTAAAAAGTACGTAATCCACACAAGGATAATAAAAGACCTTTTAGTTCACTCAATTATCTGGTTAGGTAAATATAGACTAGCCAGGCTCCCCTTGTCCACTTAGCACACTTCTGGGGGGCCTCCTTCTAGGTTCATGGGTATAGGCTCCAGGGAGCATGCTCATTGCAATTCCAGGTAAAATATTTTTTACAATCAGTGAATCATTAAACCCAGTGAAGGTCACTCACCCTGTTAATATTTTCCTCAAGATGTTCTTACACAAGATCCAGGTAAATAGGCAGGCAAGAATTCAGTCTATATGAGTTAAGGACAATTATGAATCCTCAGAACCAAAGCTCCTGCCATCTTGTCCTACCAGCCTTCATTCTTATCCTCTCTTCCTTCTTCTTTCATCCAGGCCAGATGCCAGTTCTCCTAGGACATGATATGTTGGTTTCTCAAGGGAAATGACTTCTCCTAAAGTTTTTTAAAGCCCAACCCCACATGAAAAGAAAAAGAACACAAAACTAAAGACACAGAGAGACCACCTTTCTCCTTCCAACTCTAATTCAACTTCAGATTATTCACAAAGTCTCAGAGTCAAATAGAATTATATATAGCTAAACATATACATATATATATATAAAACTGTGAGAGGGAAGGTGTCAATCATCTAATGCAGAACAGTCGTTTGCAAATGGGAGATGGAGTCCCACAGAGAATGAGTGATTTGCCTAAGTGCACATTGTGAGTTGATGGCCAAGTGGGACTAGAATTCTGATCAGCTGGAACAAAGACCTTAAGACCTTCGTGGGATTCTTGACCAAAATAAGTAAAATTAAGAATGATATTATTTTGTAATAAACTATAATAAAAGGAATCTAAAAAGTATATATATAAAGTTTATATGTGTATGTTTATGTGTGTGTATATATATATAAAATGTTTATATGTATATAAAACTTTGCTATACACCAGAATCTAACACAACACTGTAAATTAACTATACTTCAATTTAAACAAGTTAAATCTCCTTCAGAATATATTTGGCTTCCCTGGTGACTCAGATGGTAAAGAATTGGCCTACAATGCAGGAGACCCAGGTTTGATCCCTGGGTCAAGAATATCCCCTGAAGAAGGGAATGGCAACCCACTCCAGTATTATTGCCTGGAGAATTCCATGGACAGAGGAGTCTGGCAGGTTGCAGTCTGTGGGATCACATGTATCCTGGGCATCCAAAGAGTCGGGCATGACTGAATGAATCTCTGTCAGAGAATGTTATGTATTTCAATATAAACCCTAAGACAAGTAGGTTCAGAACTATGTCTAATTTGGGTTTTTCTATAGTTAAGTGAAAGAATGTGTTTTTTATAGTATTCTTGTCAGTTAGAATATTTTCTCAGCATTATGAGTAGCACCTTTATCTGATTCACTCAACTCTAGCATCATCTCCTCAGCAAACATGATTGATCTCAGTTAGATACTAAGAACTTATAAACAAACTCTGAATAGGTAGATTTCAAATCAGTGGGAAAGTTGATTATAAATGTAATGATGGTGAGGCTTTCTAGAAAAAGGAAAATTTTGATCCCTATACATACCAGATTTTGGATTTGTTAATGATAAACAGAGAAAAACATAGGTGAAAATATAGCTGATACTAATGTGAGGAGGAGATTTTTAGGTATTCTGGCAAAGTAGACTTATATGGGAATATGGTGATATTTTAACAATCCCAGAAATTTGAAAATGTGTAATGCAACAACATTAACAACACCAAGCAACATTTATTGAGGACGGGTCATGGTTGAGACCGTGGTTGAGACTGACATGGTCCACTGGAGAAGGGAATGGCACACCACTTCAGTAATCTTGCTTTGAGAACCCCATGTATGAAAGGCATGAAAGTATGAAAAGGCAAAAAGATAGGACACTGAAAGATGAACTCCCCAGGTCTATACATGCCCAATATGTTACTGGAGATCAGTGGAGAAATAGCTCCAGAAAGAATGAAGAGATGGAGCCAAAGCAAAAACAACACCCAGATGTGGATGT